AGATATTATTTGGTATACTATAAAAGACTATTATAAAAGTAAAATTTAATCAAAATCACAGTTTACATGTATTGACTGGCAAATTATAGATGCAGTCTCATTTCTTGTAATTTGGGTTTAATTAATGTCAAGTAGTATGTGGTCGAATTGGAAAATAAATTGAGTTAATTACTAGAAAATAGTAGTTGAGTTAAGTCATAGTATGGTCTTTAATTTTTAGTTGCTTTCCCGCAAAAAAAATAAACAAGCAAAATTGAGTTAATTTATGGTAAATTAGTGACGTAAATGATTCTTATATAAAAGCTTATGTGCTACAAAATTCAATAGTTTTTCTTTCAAATAAAGAAAAGTATGTTATTATGATCCAAAATATGAAAAATGAATTTACGAAAAATAGGATATATTTTATCAAAGATCACCGCCAAACTGAAAAAGAGAAAAAAAGAGAGTTTCCACAAAGTCTTCTTTGAAAATGGTTATTTATCACAGTAAGATTCAATACTCTCTGGTCTATGTCTCTATGAAGGCACATCTGAAAATGTTTCAATTTGTTCTTAATGTAATGATATTGGATTTTTGAAATGCATGCAACTGAAAGAGATGACATCAAGTACGAATAGTATGTATCTTAAATGTATATGTTATATGTATCTTAAATGTATTAAGTTTCATAAAGAGCATTCGAGGAATGAAACTTTGCACGTCTGCGTGGTTTAATTACATGGTTCATATTTACACTAAAGTTTAAAGAAAACTTATCTAAGATCCTTAAGTCGAAGATAAAGTAATTTTGTTGGCCATCAATGGTGGTAATGGTATCCTTAACTTCAGTCTTGAAAATAATTTCACGATAATGTCTGCAAATTACAACATTTTCAAAGAGATATAACATGTTCTTGAATGAAAAGACAAAAGTAAAATGGCAAAAAACATACCAATTAATATATCACCAGCATTAGTCTTTGCTATTATTTCAGGGTAAGGTAGAAGTTGAAACAATATTATAAGCTTGAATCCTCCTTCTTTTATAAAATGATAGTGTAAGTCACTTGA